TTTATTTATTTGCATGGCTAAGATCATATTGTTTTTTAAACCTTAATCCAAATTTCAATTTGCCAACATGCTCTACACTTTTCTTCTGGGGTTTAAACTGCACTGCTTGGTTGCTTTTTACTAATCACCACAAACTTTTCAATCAACCTCTTTGTTTACGAGCTCAATCAGCTTGCCATGTTGAACTTGGCCAAACATTCTCCTAGTTAATTACAGTTAGTAGTTAATAATGATTATGAGAACGATAGTAACTGTTTTTGTTATTGTTGTGTCATGCCTTTTACTCCACAGGGTTATCAGCTGGCCCAAAGTTATGCCTCTCAGGTTTACGGAATGCTGTTTTCTTAACCATCCTGTCCCCCTTTCACTTCCCACCATTTGGAATCATGTTTCAGCATTGCCTTTCAGCAGATCTCTAGCGAGGCCATTTCCAATACCAGAGTCTGCTTCTGAGCATGCAGCTGGCCACAAGACAGCAGTGACTGACTCAGCAAGACTAATCACTACAGTATCAGACACAGAAGGACAGCTGAGGTAGTTTTAAACAGGAGAAATCATCCAGTTAAAGCAGAACCAGGCACTTCATTCATCACAGAAACATCACACTGGCTGTTTAGGAGAGGCAGCCAATTATCACACTGTAAAAGAGACTGTTGCAATTTCAGTGAAATAAGCTGCTAACAACTACTTGTATCCAAGCAATGCCAGCCCAAGCTAAATGTTCAAACACCATTACCTGGCGCTTTAATCATAATATTGCAAATAAATGCAGGGAATCCTCTTAAGAACCTGCCTTGCCACCATAGTTAGTTCATAGGCAAGTAGGCCCACCCATGACATTTTGGGATAAGGCAGCCATAAGCATACCCTACTAAACTTTTTCAAGACACACAGTTGTCCAACACTGTCAATCACAAATACAGTGGTGCCTCGCTTAACCAGCGCACCGTTTAACAATGAATCCGCATAGCGACGTGTTTTTTGCGATCGCTAATGCGATCGCATTGCAATGTTCAGATAGGCTAAACATCGCATTGCAATGATCGGTAAGCGTTTCGCTTACCGATCTTCGCATCGCGATGTTTAGAAAACAGCTGATTGGCGGTTCCAAAATGGCCGCCGGATCAGCATAATGGCCGCCCACAGCGTTTCCGCGCCCTGCCCTCGCTTACCGGGCAGCGAAAATGGCGGCCGGATGTGGGAATCTTCGCTTGCTGGTGAGTTTTTCCCCAATAGGAACGCATGGGGTTCCTATGGGGTTCCCCCCCCCCGCATAGCGACGAATCCGGATAGCAACGTTAATCCTGGAACGGATTAATGTCGCTATGCGGGGCACCACTGTACCCCCAACACAAGGAATCTCCAGCACAGCACCCACTGTTGCCCTGCAAACTGATAATAGACTAGTATCCTGGCTTTTCTGAAGAAACGGCATCAGCCACACTCACCTCTTCTACTTCCAGATCGATGCACCAGATGACTAAGTAATTGGCTGTCTCCTCACACACAAGATGTGGGTTATCAGACAGATATTTCTGGCTGTCATCCCAGCGCCGCAGCATTCCTTTGGAACAGGAGAGGAGCAGCATCAAATCAGACTGTTCCTGCAGGCTACAAAGGGCAATTTTCCCTACCAGGCTTTTGGACCCAGAATTTGATACACTACTGACAGTACTGTAAGGAACTGCTGGCATTTTGCGGCAGTGTAACCTGTAAGACAGTAATGTGAATTCAGCAGGAGAGGCAATTAAGACAACCAGGGTAGTGATGAAGGGGCTTGAAATATCAAAGGTCAAGCCATACAGTGATGAGAGCATTAAAATAATTAAGCAGAAGACAACCCTGATTGCTAATGACAAATAGGCCAAGGTCTCTAGCTTCTAAAGATGGATTTACGTAATCTGAACCTTCAGCTGACAAAGAGGGCTGCAGACAAAGGGGCCTCAACGTGCTTTTGATGCAACAGGATTGGTTTTCTGTTCTAATATGTACAAAATTTACTCCACGACAGTACAAACCAGATGATTTACAGAACGGTGTGCCTTTGTGTGATTACAGTCCTCGGTGGAAGGATGGTATGGTTTGTTGCTTGCCAAACAGAAAACAAGCTCAGATGCAATACTAGGTTGCAGTTTAGCACTGCATTTAGCAAGCTGGCTACACATCATGGTCACATAGTCCCCTCCTCCCCAACTTCCCTGCCCAGTGACTTTAATTCTAAAATAACTGAATTTCCATATGTATAAAACCAGATAAATGTAGGATTTAGGGCAGTATCCTCAACCAGGTTCTCTCCAGGAGTCTGAGCTTAACTCCCACAGTTCCCAGCCTCTGATTATGCCACCTGGACTGATGCAAGTTGTAACTCAAAACATTGACAAGGACCAGGGCTGGGGAAAGTTTAAGGATGGAATGAGTATTTGTGGCCCTCCAGATACTACTCAACAGCAATCATGTTCCATCACAAGAAATGCTACCTAGGGCAAGCCAATGAAATCTGAAGGACTCTAGTCACCCACCCCTGCCAAGTTCTGTAGGGAGATCCTGTTAAAGACAAGCACCAGGGAGTCAAACAAGGTATTGAGATGGAGGTGGTATATGATTCAGGCCACTAGAAACAGATGTTGTAATTCATTTACTCAAGAACAGCCTCTCAAACAAAGCCCTTTGCAGTCTATCAAAACAGCTCTCTTTTGGACTTTGTAACTCATGGTGGAAGGTAACCACTGGGCTAGTAAATACTACAGAAGTTGCCCACACCTCATTATCACCAGATCCAGAAGAAGTTGTGAAAGGACAATTCAGACGCTCTCTCACAAGTGTATCCAATATATTGTTAGGAGATTAAGCCTTTAATATCCTAACATCTTTTAGCAGATTGGTTAGCTCAGTAGTATAGGTATCTGGCTGTGGAGCCAGAAGCTGGGAGTTCGATTCCCCACTGTGCCTCCTTGACAGGGACTGGACTCAATCCGCAGAGCCCCTTCCAGCTCTACAGTTCTATGATTATTATTGTTATAACTTCATGAAGCTCTAAAACTCATGGAATGTTATGTTCCCCCATATTTGTTCTTCTAGATATATTTCTTTAATGTGTAAAAGCTGACAACAAATATCCCCTTGGGTAACCCAGGTGTTCTTGGACTACAACTCCCAGAAGCCTTCACCAAGAGCTATGCTAGACAGGGTTTTTTGGAGTTGCAGTCCAAAAACACCTAATTTCCCAAGGCTGGCAACCACTGCCCTAGTGCAATGAATGCTGCCTGAAAATATATACACGAAGTGTTATGCCTGCACAAACAGACATCATGGGGAGGGGGTCAGTCACACCAAGTCTATTCATTTATAAATTAACAGCATCTATAAAAGCTGTATATGCAACTGGAGCTCAAGGAACCCAAGTGCTCTTGGCCAGAGACACAAAATTTGTGCTAATGCATAATAAACTCTGATCAATAGCATTTTTTTCACTTGCAAGTTTCCTTTGTAACAGAAGCCTAATACATTTTTGAAACCGTAACGGGATCAGAAAAAAAACACATGCGGAAGTGTATAGCTTACCAAAGTGTTTGATTTGCTTTTCATACTTCTCCACAAATGTTTTGTGCTTCTTTTCTTTCTGTTCTTCAGATTCTTCCTCTGGCTGCTCAGGCCGGACATTGAAGACACTCTATAGTAGCAAAGGAAGCTCTGGTTAAATACCTCTCCTATTACCTCCCTGTAAGTTAAGTTGGCAAGAGAACACTCAGGGGCGGCTGATTTATTTCAAGACCAAACAAACAAGAAAGAATCGCTCCAGCAAAAGGAGGAAGAGTTAAAGCAGCGACAAAACAATCAATAACTGAACAAATGCTTCTCCTCGAGATAGCTATCGGACAGGAGGCTAGAGTAATTTCATATAATGAAGCCAGTAAAGCTGCTTCTGTAGATCACCTCTATCCCTGGACAGCAGAGGCTGATCCTGCACCCATGACTCCCTGTGAGAGGATGCAAGAGCAAGCTGCCTGGCTCCAGCCCATAGGTAGCAAGTAGCCGGGAGGAGGGAGAGTTGCCTCAGCATGAGGCTGGTTGAAGGGAGTCCTTGCAGTTGAAGGAGAGGCAGTGAATAGAAGAGAGGCAACTGAAGGAAGCCAGGTAAAGGAGAATAAAAGAGCAGAATTGGGAAGGCAAGGGGACATCACCTATCTTGGAAGAGCAGGATATGTGGAAGAATGGCAGAAGCTGTCCACCTTTGCCAGGTTTAATGGCTTGCGACAAGAGCCAGGTATGCGCTTGGACAAGGCTACATTATCCTGGATGATGCAGCAGCTCTGGAGAGGCGAGGGAAGGGACGATGAAATATGAGCTGCAGAGACCAAGTCCTTGTGCTCATTTATACAGGCCTTCTCTCAATGCGGTGTGTCCTGACTCTAAGCTCTCTCTTCCTTCCAGAACCTGGGCTCTGGGAGAATTCCAGTGAAACTAATTGGACCCCCAAGCTGACAAGTAGTTTGGAAATTGTAACTTGACCCTCTGGGACTATGGAATAAAAGGCAGAGGGAACTGCTGCTGTAACTCTAATAAAAACTGATTTGAGTCAAGAAGCTGAATTGGAGCCCAACAGAGAACTCTAGCTCTACTGGCGAGGAGACTGGCAGCGTGCACGCGTGCGCGGACACACACTTTCTTGTGCTAGAAGGGTTTTCTTAAACTGGAAAAGAACTCTTTTGCCCTCCAAGGGCTGAAAATGTTTTTTTTTGAACTGCATGGGTGAAGGGAGACCATAGGTGCTGAGGGGGACAACACCGTTAGAGGGCACAAGGAATTTTTTTAACTGTACACCAAAAAAAAGTATAATAATAAAAATAAAATAAAAAGCCTTGAGGCTTGAAATGCAAATGTTGCCCACTCTAGCTATAGTTTTATCAGCCAAAAATGTTATGAACCTGAACAACTCTAAAGAAACCTTTTCAGTCTTCCTTCTCCATTCATTCCAAAACAGAACCCATCCTTCATCTTTGCTTCCATCATGTTAGCTATCAGGAAATGAGACCTAAGAATTGAGATATTATCTCTCAGAACATAATAGGTAGCAAATCTGTGGGTTGCACATTGGCAAATTCCATTGCCATCCACCAGATAGTGAGGGAGTCAAACTGAAGATAATAGTTGCCTTCACTAAAGCCTTAGAGCAGGGGAAAGCCACTTCATGCTCCTCACTGAAAGTGGAGGTTGTTGGAACTGTACTCTAAAACATCCAGAGCACCAGCTTCATTACCCCTAAAAGTTGGAGGGCCAAGTTCAAAATTCCTTTTCTAGGACACCTACTGATGCCACTGCTTCCTTCCCACTCTTCCCAAATATCATGGATTACTGTACTTCCTTGCTGCCAAATGTGGTGCTCATATAGCTATCTACTTTCCATCAACCATGTTCAGGTTCTCCTCACTATGTCCTTCCCACTCTTCCCAAATATCATGGATTGCTGTACTTCCTTGCTTCCAAATGTGGTGCTCATATAAGCTATCTAGTTTCCATCAACCATGTTCAGACTTTCAGGTTCTCCTCACTATGGGAGAAAGGCAGAATAAAAAAATAAAATAAAGCTGTAAATAGAAGCATAGCCATCAAGCAAGATATAAAATGAACCAGTCTAATGTAAACAATTCAACCCACCTTACTGAAACCATCCTTGCTAAGAGTGTCCACATTCCATGGCATGTTCTTTTCCTTTTTCTTAAGCTCCTCCATCTTCTCCACCCAGGTCTTCTCTTCTTTCTTCAGCTGCTGGGCCTCAGCCTGCAGCCTCTGCAACTCACTTCTACTGTCCTCTGTGTTGGCTAGTTCTAGTTCCTTCATCTTCTTCTGGCACTCAGCTAACTTCCGCTTGCACTCCCGGCATCCTTTGTCTACATCTTCTTTCTCCTTGTTGAACTGTTCCATCCTCTCAACTCGGGCCTTGAAAACAGAGTCCATTAAATCAATATAGCCCAACAAAGGCTCTTGAATAGCAGAAATCATATCAGCCTTTCTATGTCACATCATAGAAAGACTCATAAAGAGTCACACCAAGTTGCCTATATAAAGATACAACTATCTGGTACCTTCCAATGGGGTAAGGAAGAGTGTGTGTTTTTAAACTTGCCTTTTTCCAAAGAAGAAAAGTAAAAGAAACAAAACATATCAAACACTATAGTAACAAAACCATAAACATTCATTGAACGACTATCATGATGAAACACAAGATGTACATTCTGATAAGCATTCAAAAGAAGGAATAATGTAGGGTATTTACAAAAGAAATATTTTCTAAACTAAAGCTGAAATAATTAAATTTTGAGCAAATAGCTGTAGGTGTAGCAAAGAGGTATAAAATATTCATCAGAGAGTTTACTATAAGTCATCTTGCCTTGATGTGTCCTTCCACAATGTCTGCTTTTTATATTAAGTCCACATTAGCAACTCTTTAGATGGAAGCTCCTGTGTCCAGCAGGCAATATGTTTTAATCCCATTAAGCTCAATTCCCCAGCCTACATACCATGAGGTAAGAGGAACTATCATATCTTGTGACCTCATGAGCTATGACTAGTTTAAGAGAGAATCTAAGCATGTCCGGCACGACATTGCCTTTTCAACTGTGTTTCACTTTTGTTTTTTAACTTCCTCAGATTAATTTTTAGTAACTGGCAAACAAATATGAATCATAATATAGGCAAGGCTGCTCTTCTTCTAAAGCTGCGAGAAAAAACTAGAGCAGAGATCAAGTGACTAAACATATGAGGAATGTTCTTTCTTGGTGTTTTGTATTTGTGTCTGCATGTATCTACTAGAAAGCACAGACCATTGTTTAACAAATGGCATTTTTAGGAAATACACTGATTCATTCATCGCCCCACCTCCCCAAAGTGCAAAACCAAAACATGTAACTTTTTCAAAAAAAAATTCAGAATAGGATGACCAAAAATCCATAAGATTTGGGATAGATGCCAATGAATGTAGGACAAGTTGGTTTTCAATCCCTTACTTGGCTAGAAGCCATCCATGTTGTTCATAAAGGAAAGGAAGCAGAATGCTTTCTGCACAGGGCTTCTGATGAAGTGTGTTTTGTTTTTTTCTTATCCAATATTTGAAAGCTGGCAAAAGACCAGTCATGTCAAACCAGTTTTATTAAAATGCCTCTAAGTTTCTGCTTGTCTATGTCTTATGTCAGTATCAGAAACATCACATTGAATAGCATATGGGAACTGGAAGCTGTTACTCATTGGTCAAATATCACCTGGAATAATGTGTCCAGTTTGGGGCATCATACTTCAAGAAGAGCACTGAGAAGCTAGGAATGTGTCCAAAGGAGAGAAACAAGGGGGACAAAGTGTTTGGGAATATACTGAATAGATAAAGTTTTTACTTGGAACTGACAACTCTGCATATACAGTAGTTCAGATCTTAAATGCAAACTAAATGTTCCTCAAATGTAGCAGAACCTCATTTCTCAAGAGTCATCCATTGCAGACTTTCGGAGCTTGGTGTCCATTTTATATTGCATCTCCTTTCAAACGCTAAACAGCCTGTGGGAACTCAAGTCCAAAATGACTAAAGATTGCCAAGTTGAGGAAGGCTGATCCACTGCATAAAACACTTTAAGGACTCATGCTCTATTCACATGTTAATTTTTTGGGGATGCACATTTAAGTTCAAAGCTGAAAATAAGATATGCAAATGAGTCACAGGCTCAATTTCCCCCAAAGAGATAAACTCATGGTTATCCTACCCTCCACACAAAACGATTGCCTCCACTTAAAAAATAACAGATGCTTCAATCTATATTTGGACTTTCCAAATCTACTTTTCTAAGTTTAGCACAGAGCATCACATATCCATGGGAACTTTCAATAATGTTTTGGGGAACATGTTTCACACAAATCTGAGAGAGCTAGAAATAGTCAGAACTTTGTTATACAGACAACTTTACTTCCCATCCTGCTACTACACAATATGTAGACTAGCTTTTAGCAGCTGTCCTTCCTTATCTCAGCCTCAAATTTTCCCAGTACTGTACAAACTATCAAATCACAGAATAGGGATGTCGCAAGGGGGCTCTAAGTCCATCAAATCCAATCCTGTCCTAGCTTTTAGCAGCTGTCCTTCCTTATCTCGGCCTCAAATTTTCCCAGTACAAACTATCAAATCACAGAATAAGGGTGTCGGAAGGGAGCTCTAAGTCCATCAAATCCAATCCTCTCCTCAATGCAGGAATTCAAATCAAAGCATATCTGACAGACAGCTGTCTAACTTTCTCTTGAATGGCTCCAGTGTCAGAACACTCACCTCCTCCAGAGGTAATTGGTTCATTGTCCTACCACTCTAAAGGAAGTGTGGCAACATTTACCATATTCTTTAAAGTTGTTCTTGACAGATGTGCATTATGGAAAATTACTAGTCATACTAATAAACGCAGTAACTTCCCTAGATTTAAATACACTTTGGCATTATTGATCAACACCATACATATACAGGACAGAACAAAACTTAAGCCATCTGCAACCATTTTTCTTCAGATCTTTGGTTCTCCAGCTGCTATTTTAAGATCTAAAATCTGAAGAGAAATTAAATATTAAAAACCTTATTCAGCTGAATATTCACAAACTCATGAATGGGTTTTGTACTAAATTAGCCCAGTGGTCTAAACTACTTTGCTACTGTTTACTCTGAACAGCTAGAGCTCTCCAGGATTTCAGATACATGCCTTTTCTTGGCCAGTCAAATATAGATGTTTAGTCTTCATCCTTTGGTGATAGCAAATTTGTGGTGTTGCCATTGCCAATGACTCCAAAAAAGCAAGTGCATCAACGTGTCTGATGAAGTGCTTCTAAAGGACTCAAAACCTTGCCTTTTAACTATGTTTCAATAGTTGAAGAGAAATACTACTCAGTTATAATTCATTTATAAAACATAGGGAGGACTGGAAGAAAAAATAAGAAACCAGGCCTTCTCGGCAGTGGCCCCTCAACTTTGGAACAAACTCCCATCGGAAATTCACCTGGCATCCTCGCTGGGTGTTTTTAAGAGCCAACTTAAGACCTGGCTCTTTAGGCAGGCCTTCCCTCCAGTTATTATTTGATTTTCTTGTCTATCCTAACTCCCATTTTGCTTTTCCATCTTGAACGCCACTAATAATATTAATATGATTGATGTAAATTGTCATTTTAATTGTTTACATGTTGTTTTTCATATTTTTGATTTAAGCCGCCTAGAGTAGACGTAGTCTAGATGGGCGGGATACGAATCAAATAAATAAATAGGTGTTCGCATGTTTAGAGCACCCCGACTGATTTTTCGTAAGGAATAAAAAGGTCCTTCCAAAGCCAGATGCTGGGAAGAAGTAAATTTCAGGAGGAGGAATTTGCAAGACTGAGAAAGCAACTTTTGATTTGGGTGAACTACCCCTACTTTTCCAAAAGGACTACAACTTCTACGATCTCTCACCACTCACTCTGGTGGCTGGGGATGATGGAATGTGTAGTCCAAGGCCATCCGGAGGCCCACACGTTCCCCATCGCTAAGGCTGGAAATGACCACCACACAGGCGAGTAGAGGAGCGCACCCACGCCCAGCCTTCCCAGGGGGCTGTGCCAGGAAGCTGCCTCCCAGCAAAGTCTCCCTGTTTTGACCCACCCACGATGGAGCTCCCACAGAAGTGGGGAGATCTGGGAGGCTCACCCGCTTTATGGGAGGAGGGGGCGCGGGGCCTCGCTTCCTTCCGGGGAAGGGGCTCGAACCCCTCTGTCCTCACCTGGTGCCGCCATCGGAAGAGGCTGGGCGTGTCAATGTTGGGGTGAGTCTCATCTTCATCGTCCGACACCTCGATATGGTCCCAGACGCTGTAATCCACCATGGCGATGGCGTTGCTGCCTCACGAACCCGTCGGTTCCACCCCCTCTTCGCCCTCTAGTACATCCGCTTTCCTTCTCAGACGTCACTTCCGCCGTCTCCACCTTCGCTTGCCCGCTTCGGGAAAGCTTCCTATCTCTGAAACGCCGCCCGATCGGGAGAAGAGCTACGAAAACAGAAGAGGTCCACAGAGCCGCTACTTCCGGTTCACTCTTCCTGGAACGTTCCATGCGCGGGGAGGAAGAACAGCGAGTTTTCCATGGAAGGCAACGGCGTCACCTTCGTGATTCTTTTATACGCGTGTAGTTTGTTTTTGCGGTCTGGTTGGTTGCAGAAAGAGGGTTTGCGGGGTTTTTTGTTGTTGTTTAACAGAAGAGTTCAGCAGCTGGCAGTGAGCGTGAGAAACCTGAAAACAAAAAAGGGAATGGTTAAAAAGCATTTAATTAATTTTATTTTAAAATTAGATGGATTCACAATAAGATGCTGGGAACCTTTTTTTCTCAGTATCACATGCCAGGCATAACTCTGTAACTATTACACGTTGCTTACACCACACTCTTAGGTTCCCAGATTTTTGTAGGTAATTCAGGGGAGGGGAACATTTGTTTCTGGGTTTTTTGCAAGCCCGCAGGCTGCCTTTAGTGGATTTTGCTGGGAGGGACCTTTCCGGGCTGGGGTGTATCTACCTTGGACTACTAAACAGGCATTCCTTCCCTGCCTCTGAATTCAAAGAGAGCCCCAACTCTCTGCTTTTGAGCTTTCTCTCTCTCTAGAGTCTGTTGGAGTATGTTGCTGCAGGCAGTTATGTTTATTGGTTTTGCTGTTGATCCGTCCTTATTCTTTGTACTATTAATATCTAAAAGTGAGTTATTGAGACTAAGTGCCAGTTAATAAGAAAAGGAGTTGTCTACTCCGGGAAAGCTGAACTTGTTTCTCTCTGTGAATTCCTGCACAGCTACTGCACAGAGGGTACTTATACCCGGTAAAATTAAATAGAATAAATAAAGAAATATCAGACATGTGTTGGAGCAAGTGTAAGAATATGAGGAACTCTGGAACATACCCTGTTTTCCCAAAAATAAGCCCTAGTATGCTTTTCAGGATGCTTGTAATATAAGCCCTACCCCCAAAATAAGTGAAACCCCACCACCATTGTGCAGCAAGAAGATGACATGACTATTTGAATAAATGTAGGTGGTTGTACCTTAAAAAAAAACCCCCTGAAAATTAGCACTGATGCATTGGGGGGGGGCAAAAATTAATTAACACCCTGTCTTATTTTCAGGGAAACACGGTATGTAGTTAACACTCCCAAGTGCTACATAGGGAGAAAGATAGTACAGTGGGGTCTCTACTTAAGAACGTCCCTACTTAAGAACAATCCAACTTAAGAACAGCTCCATTTGCTAAATTTTGCTTCTACTTGAGAACAGAAATCCAAGATAAGAACAGGAAAAAAAAAC